TTTCAAAAGGACAAGATTAAAGAGTGTTTTAGAAAAACAGGGAAACACTTTGCATGAGTGCATGGAAGCAGGATAGAGCGTGGCTTGTCAGGGACTGCCCCACTGTCCAGTTTGGCTAGGATGCAGAATATACAAAAGAGGAGTAATATGAAATAAAGTTGTAAATGTATGTTGGAGCCAAACTGTAAAGGGCCTTGAACGTCATCCCAGGGAGTTTATACTTCATCTCAGCGAAAATTAAGAGAAAGGACTGTTTTTGGTAAGCAAAGGCTTCTCACTCTAGAGGTGTAGCTCTTCCTCTAGGCATCAGTCTTTCATTCTACCTTAACTCCAGAAGTAATCTTCCTGTTTTTCCTGACAAGAATGGAACCATCAGATCTGCCTCTTTAACTTATGCGATGGTACCTGGCATTTCATAAAAAAACAGCACTGTTTATCAAGTACTTTGAGATCTGGAATTGGAAAGCATGGCAGATGATAGTTTACAGCATTATCATTAATCAAGTCATAAGAAATTGATTGCCCTGTGTTTATAGAAACATCTTAGTCGGATATTAAAGAAGTCTGGTCCGCGGCAGACAGCTTCGTTTTAGCGATGAGCCTGATAGCACTGGATGAAGCTACGCTCACACAATTAATTTAAATTGGCTAGTAGGGCAACACTATTATGGTCTCAGATAGGAATGAACGTCTACAAAGTTAATGATACACAGAAATGAATCGTGTTGGGAAGAGGGAAGGAGGGAGTTTGATTCTGACTCATTCGATGTCTTTTCTTTCCTTAAGGCAAAACTCCCTAGGGTTTCAGGCTCAGTAGTCTAGGCACTGGATGCTCAGGCATTCTACTGGGAATCGTGGCTCTGGTCTTCACAATGATCGCAGGAATTATAGCCATAATGGACCTTTGAGATTGTACAGTCCAATCTCATTTTCTTAAGCCAATGACAAAATTGAAACCTGGGAGTGGAGGCTGTCTCAATCAGAAGGAACCTTGATATGTTATTGGCTATTTCTGATCATACGTGCTCTCAGAATTTTAGAGTTTGCATGCCCATCCAAGAATCAGGATAAATGAATTCAAAGTTGGCACTTTTATTTATATTTTAGCAAAAAAATATATATATATCCTCAAAGAAAATCACCATTTTCAAAATCTATTCAAAATTGAGTTCACCTGAAAGTCATGATTGCAAATCTGGATTTAGAAGAAGCTGTTAATTAGACTGGGAGTCCATGCAGACACAAAGTGGACATATATTCAATAACAAGATATTTCTTTCTGCAGCTGAACAGCAACTCCTTACAGTTCTCCTTGTCGATCAGAAAGATTTACACTAACAATAATCTCCACAAAAGTCCTCCCCCAGTGCCTCATCATGGAAAGATGACCCAAGGTTCTCAAAGGCTACGTCAGTGGGGTGGACACTTTGGCAGCTTCCAGTATTCGGGAAAGAATTCTGAGGGCTGGCTTAGCTAATGTTAGAGAGCTTCAATGCAGTAGGCTGCCCACTAAGGGATGAATTCTTTGGCTATGGTGACCCATGATACGAGGAAAAATACAAAATTGTCGTTTAACTTCAGAAGATCATAAAGTGGCAGAGAGGGCTAGGAATTACAGTTTTCAGACAATCTGAAAACATTAATTTAACAGTTGCTGCTTTAAATATGATATCCTCGTCCAATGACCAACAACTTGAAATACTACTGGAGGAACTGAATAATAACAATAATGATGATAATAAAGATATAATAACGGTAATAGCTAATGTTTATATAGTGTTTGCTTGGTGCTAGGCATTGTGCTTTATAACTATTGTCTCATCTGATCCTCACAGGGTTGCTATGAGGAAGGTGCTGTTGTTATCCCCATTTTACAGAGGAGGAAGCCAAGGTAGGCAGAGATTAAATGACTTGCCCAGGGTCACACAGCTAGAGTGTGACTGAGGGTGGACCTGAACTCAAGTCTTCCTGACTTTAGGCCTGGCTGCCCTGTCAATCCGAGGCCCTGTTAATCTTGACAATTTTTATGTAAAGTTAGAAGACAAGCAGTGAATCATGGGCTCGTGTGTGTGTGGTGTGTGTGTGTGTGTGTGTGTGTGTGTGTGTTCACTGACATCTGCAGCAAAGGTTAAGGATGTCAATAGAGCCCTCCAAATGAAACCAACAGATTCCTTCATTATTTGGTAACTTCAAATGCTAAGACACAGGAGAGAACTGATGAAAAGTCTGTTGGGAAACATGGCTCATGAGTTAAAGAGGCCAAAGTCTCGTAGACTACACGGAAGCCTCCTGTAAATGAATCATTGGAAGGACTAGACGCAGTGGGCATTGAATAACACCATCCCCATAAAAACTAAGAACATGGGAGTGATTTCTCAGTCGGCTCCCTGTGTGCAGTTATGCCACTGATTTAGAATAAAAGTCCAAATCGACACTAAATTGTCAGAAAGAAAAATGGGGAGATATAGAGAACAAGTTGACTTGTTTAAAAAAGTCATTGCTGCTAAAAAATGGAAGGGGATTAAGGAACAGATACTGTGATGAACCCATACCATTTATTATGGAGTTAGCATATAGGCGATGGTCACACTGAGGAGGACAAACGAGTCAGACACAACGGCCAAAGATAACACGAATTTATATTATAGATGCCTTTGAAAAATCTCACAGAGGAGGATGGTAGAAAATTTTGAGCAGCACCATCTCATAAAGTGAGAAGCAGTACATGGAAACATGATTTTGCAGAAACCTTATCTTCAGACCCAAGTAAGGCAAATTTTCCAAAGAAATTAATAATAAGAGCTTGTATTTAGAAAGTACTGTGTATATGTCATCTCATGATCGTCACAACAACCTTGGGAGTCAGGGACCCTTCTGATCCTTATTTTACAGATGAGGAAACTGAAGCCAGAGAGGGGAAGTGACTTGCTCAGGGTCACAGCCAGTCCCGGTCTGAGGCAAGATTCAAACTCAGGTACTGCTGACTCTAGGTCCAACGCTCTTTCCACTAGGCCACCTAGCTATTTGTTTACAGCAAAAACTCGAAGGAAAACAATAGAGAGAAACGTCACAGACGTGCCAACATTTCTGTAACCAACTTTTCCCCACCAACGGCAGCGGATCCGCCCTGTTTGGACTCTAACACTGAGGGATCTGATGTGATCATGAGGAAGTAGAAATAGCACTAACAAAAAAAAAACCAGAACAAAGATGGGAGAAGCAGATATACTAGACCCAATACACACAAAAGAAGGCTGTTCTTGAGTCAATACTATTTTGAGGATACGGAGACATTGCTCTTTTAAGATATCCAAGAGAGGGAAAGATAACAAAAAGTTTGACACCAATAACTACAAAATCCTCATGAAACTAAACTACACATGCAGCTGAGAAGAATACAAGAAGGGAACAGGCAAATTTCACATGTGAAATTTTCAAACAGACCACATTTCTGCAGTCACATGATTGACTAAAATATACAAAGAACCTAATATATTTGGATATATGTGCACATATACATACGTATATGTTGTAACATACATGCACATCCAAAAACATGTGATTCAACAGAGCAAAATATCCTTTCAAAGGGTCTCTTCCTCCCAAATATCTGTCATACATATACTGAAATCACATGTAACAAGCCAAGCTAACTTTGATCACCTTCTGGTTGTTAATATAAAAAGAGGAAAGGCCAAAGAAGAAACAGGGTCCTACAGTGACCTTTTGGTGCAGTTATGAAGGACACTGAGCACTGTGTCCAACAGGAAGAGTTATTCCTAGGACGTGGCCAATGGCCTCTGGATGCCTTGTCTGTAGGTGACGTGATGCTCAGATTCAAAAGCCCTTGAAAACGTTTAGCTTAACAATCCACACAAGTAAAATGAAGTCAAGCAAGAAGACCTACCACCTCTCTCTGCCTTCGGATTAAATCTTTGATTGCTATCTATCTGTAATCACAACTCGACAGGAGGTGCATCAGGACGTATACGGCGGTCCAACATCGATCCAGGTCTTCCAGCACAGGCTGGACGATGACTTGTGTGTACTACAGAGAGAGAACACTTGTTTAGACATGGAATGGACAACGTGGCTTCTGACATCCCTTTCAACTCTGAGATTCTGGGATTTCTCCCTTTTTGTCAGGGCTTATGTCTGCAATTCTGGTTACATGAGAAAATGTTGTCTGTGCTAGCAGGCTTCAAAGGAAGCCTCCACTAAGAGCCAGTTTCTAAACAGTAGCAAATAAAATTTTTAACTATTCAGAAATGCTTTTACTAAACATGTCTTTTCTTCCATACATCAAACTAGACAATTTGCACATGCTATTTTTTTTAAATAAATGACTGTTTTATTCCTCGTCGATGACTGTTTTGACTCATGTTAAAACAAAGAATTAAACATGGTTTCGAACTAAATACCCTGTGAAGTTTTGTGTTTACAGTATACAATGATTCCTAGAAATGCATAATTCATTCACATCATCTCTCTTAAAAGCCCTCAACAGATGAACTGTCAATCACAATCACTCTATTAGGCAATTTTATTTAACCTTTTTTAGGGGAGGTGGAATGGGGTTGGGGGGTGTGTGTCATTTTTTGGGAGGTGACTTGTATCAAATTAAAAAAACTCCAAAGTCTTACTTGACATTTTCCTTGCTATTTTTTAGCTAGACACATGGCCATATGTTTTTGTTTTTCGTTCTAGCCATCCGATTACACAGAACCTTTCCTTACTGATGCTGGCCCACGGTTGCACTACAACTTATGAAATCTTCTTTAGAGAGGTGACCGAGGCCCTGAAGGCTGAATGATGCACACTCATGGTCACAGTCAATAGGTATAAAGAGGCCTTATTTGAACCCAGGTCTTCTTGATTCCCTACCTACTACGGAAAATCCTCAGTATTTTCAGACAGACTGAAAATTTCTAACTGTGGCATTACAGAAACAATTATAACACTCCTGTCTGATTGAGTAGGAAAAAATAAGGAGGAGAGAATGGGTTAAAACGGCCACTTTATTGAGCTCATCAGATAACAGAAACACACATACACACATCCCGCACAGTCACTTTCACCTTGGTGTCCTCCTAGACTTTACATTTTAAGAAATCAATTCCAATTTTATTGTTAATTTAATCCCGAGTTAGTCAGGCGACAGGACTGCCCATCAGGCGTTCTTGCCGGAGAGCAATTAATCTCTTGAACCACTTCTCCTCTGCTTCAGCCTTCTCAATAAATAGCTGTAATAAAAATAATAATAATACAGGAATGAATTACTTTACTTGTTTGCCTGAGTGTCCTCAGGGTCCATGCAGGACAAGGGGCCCTTCTCCTCCCACAAGGCCTTACGCTGGAGGGTGACGGTGCCCTGAGGGGGCAGAGTCACTGTCACCGCTCCTAGGTGCCTTCTACCCCACCAGGTCTGGTCGTGCCCTCTACCAGCCTCCTGGGGCCCGCATGTTCCCGTTATCTCGTGGCCCCTGTCTCTCAATCATGGCAACGATCCCTTCTCCGGCTCAAGCGACAGCTGTCACTATGAGCCAGATCCCAATACTTTGGGTCAGAGAGCAGCAGCGTGGCCTGCTTTGGGCCCCCGTCCTCCCCGTCTCCAGGGTGGGGCTGAGCGCTCTTACGTTAGGATGCGCTAGAGAATCGGCGTCTTGGTACTTGATGGTGGTAGGAATGCTGCCGGGGTCTCCTTCCTTTCAGCGTGGCGGGGCTCTGCAGTCACCGCTCCTGACGTCGTGGGCTCCTGCTTTCCTTCGCCAGGGTCAGTGGGCTGGAAAGAGACAAGACACCCACCCACCATCACAACCTGGGCCATGGCAGACAAGTGGGGCGCTGTTCCGGGCCTGTTTCGGACGCCAAACAAGGAGTCATCCATTTCTTTGAGACGTTGCTATGACTCTCTTTTCAGTCTCAAAGATTACCTGGATTTCTGGATGAAGAAGGACGATTCTTGGCGTGGGGATGGGGGGACGGGAAGCTTATGACACAGTAAATAATTAGGGAAATATTTTCCACTTCTTATTATTGGTCTAAATCCCATTTTGTAGTGACTTCCTTTTGAAGGGTGGCATGGTGGAGTGGAAGGAGTGACAGACTGAGCATCAGGAGACCTGAGTTTGAATCCTGGCCCAGACACCAGCAGTGACCTGGAGCACAGGCCAGGAGGCGGCAGGTGGAATGGGCCAAGGACTGGATCTGGAGCAGCAGGCCAGGGGTTCGATCCTGGCTCCCCCATTTCCCTGGACCGTCTCCACCAAGTCACTCAGCCTCTGTGGACCTCAGTTTCCTCATCTGTAAAACAAGGGGTTGGCCTAGATGGCCTCCAAAGTCTTTTTCTGTTCTGGATTTCTGTTCTAGTGTGCGTCCCTACAAACTGATAATACCTGCATTCACTCGACTTCACAAGGCTGCAAGCCTTAAAGTGCCATACAAATCTGAGCTATTGACAACAGCTCAAATTACTGAAAGTTCATGGAAAATCGATACTGATTAAACATCTCAATCTTTCACATGTTCAACCCAGTTCTAACACCAAGAAGAGGGTTCTGCCAGACTTGTAGCCATTAATTAAATGGCCTGTTTATGAGGAAAAACAAAAGCCTGCCAACACTCTGAAATCTCTCTAGCTTTGGTGGAGTACAATGGCCGCCTGCATCTGGCACCTCCCACACGCCCACACTGATCACCACCCTCTCCCCACAGCTTCCCTCCTCTCCACCGTCTACACTTGTTCTGACTCTGTCGCCCTTCCTGTCAATCACCCAGGCTTGGGGCTAAGAGTCACCTTGGCCTCTGCTCTCTTAGCTGTTTATTGTGTCTTCATGACATCTCACACACAGCTCCTTCCTCTCATGATGACAACAGTCAGAGCCTCACCTGGACTACTCCAATAGCCTCTTAATTGGGGGGTGTGTGTGTGTGTGTGTGTGTGTGTGCGCGCGCGCGCATGCATGTACATACGTACGTATGTATGCATGTCCCTTCTCGGACCCAGCCTTCACCCTGCTGCCAGGGTCATGTCCACCGCTTACCCATTTGCCTTGACGTTGGTATTGAAGAGCTTTCCTAATGTGGCTCTATCTTTATCTCAAGTATTTGCTGAGCTCCATGTCCTTCATATTTCAGGCCCCCTGGACTCTGGGCAGTCCCCTGGTCTCCTGCTGCCCTCTTCCACTTCTGTGCACTCAGGAGGGCAGCCTGGTCCCCTCTTTCTGCAGGGATGCCTCTTGCACTCCTCTCTTCCAGGCTCAGATCAGATGCCACCTTCCCCGTGACTTCTGCCCTGATGTCCCAGCCAGAAGGGACCTTCCCTTGGCCGCCTCTTACATGCTGTGCTCATCCTGGCTGTGGGGGCACACAGTCTATCTCTTTCCTATTAGTTCAGGAGCTCCTGGGAGGCAGAGATTCTAATGGTTTCCCATTCTGCACAGCCCTGCACACAGCAGGTAAACACTGGCTATGTGGAAGAGCTCATTAATGTTCACCAAGTGCTTTACAAACGTCCTATCACTGTAGGTCACACCAAACCTGGGGTGGGCCTTGTCCTCATATAACAGATGAAGAAACAGAAGCTCAGTGTGGGCAACCTGTCTGAGCCATGATTTAAACTCAGGTTTCTTCTCACTGCATGTGGAACCTCGCACACAGCAGGCGCCTACTAAATGACTATCAAAGTGTACTGAATCATGAGCTCCTGCTCCCACGCGGCTAAAAGCAGGCACAGAACTCCGCTGCCTGGGTGCCCCCATGTCCAGCCTGCTCACTGCACTTGGATGAGCCGCTCATCAGTGTCAGGATCTCTACTGGTAATTCGTCACTGCTCACGGTCCCTTCAGTGGCCCCCAATTCCACCTCATCCCTTTTGTTCCTATCTCTAGATTACCTTACTTAAAAGAATGAAGCCATTTCTTGAGAGATGTCTCGCCTCCTGTCCTTATCCACTTCAGGATCAGACGATAAAGTGGTCCTCATCCTTGCCAAGGCAAAATCTACCCCCTGCGTCCTTGGCTGTATGACCCACCATCTCCTCTGAACTTCGCTCCACTGTCACTGACTCTCTTCCCCCTTCATCTTCCCTTTCCCTGTCTCCCTACAAACATGCACAATTCTCCTCTATTCCTGAAGAACATTCTTCCACATCTCCTCAAACCATCCTCCAGTTAAACTTCTAGAAAGGGTAACTTCTACTGATGTCCACCGATTCTGAAAGTCCTTGTAATCTGGGTCCCAACAGTGGTCAACCCCAAGGCTGCCCCTTAACACACTTGAACTGCTAAATCCAGGGGCCTTTAGCAGTGTCCGACTCTGCGGACCACTCCTTTTCACATACATTCTCAGCTCCTTTGGCTTTACCCAACTTCTTTCTACCTGTTCCTCCACTGGCTCATTGTCTTCTTCCTTTCAAAGAATGCGTCGTTTCTCTCCCCTCCCCCCCCCCCCAGATTCTATAGTTGTCTTTTCTGTCTCTGGTCTTCCTTGGAGAGTTATCTCATTCAATCCAATGGCTTTATTACCAAGTCTATATATCCAGCCCCAAATACTTGGCTGTCCTGTTGGCATCTTGAGTACAAAGTATCTAAAACTAAACTCATCCTTTCCCCCTCCAACCTGCCTCAACAATGGCAAATGCCACAGAGGAGGTAGAGGAGGATGAGAGCTGAGAAGCCAGTAATCAACAATTAGAGTAGTTTATTAGGAATTTTTGAGAAAGCAGTTTGAATCTGTGATAGGAATGCAATGCACTACAACAAACATAGTAGGCACCTACTATATACAAGGGGCAGCTAGGTGGTGCAGTGCATAGTGGGCCAGAAGTCTGGAAGACCTGAGTTCAATTCCAGCCTCAGACACTAACTAGCTGTGTGACCCTGAGCAAGTCACTTAACCCTGTTTGTCTCAGGTTCCTTATCTGCAAAATCAGCTGGAGAAGGAAATGGCAAAGCACTCCACTATCTCTGCCAAGAAAACCCCAAATGGGGCCACAGAGTCAGACATGACTGAAAAAATGACTGACCTGAATTATCTGTACAAGGCATTGAATCAAAGGCCAAAGTGAAACAGTCTCTCACCTCAAAAAGCCCATCTTTGGAGGAGAGGGGGCAGGAGTTCAGGAGAGAGTGGGAGGTAAGAAAGGGCAGATGTCTATTGTATTTAACCACTTAATTACATACAGCCTTGTGACCAGGCCATATTCCCCTGGGGTTAAACTGTAGTTATTTGAGGGCAAGGAACAGGCTTACCTGACTTGAGAGAATATCCATGAAGAGATGGATGCCTGGAAAGGAGGAGGGGCTCTCCTAAGGCTACTCAGGTAGTAAACATCATTGCCAGAATCCAAACTTAGTGAGCTTGTCCCTAACAGGTGTCTCAGGGCTCTCCCACTCTGCCAGACCGTGAATAGGGTGGGGACTAAATAAGTAGTTGCTGAATGAGGAAAGAAATTCTAAATTCAGTCCTTCTCTCCACCCTTTGAGTAAGGATGTTAATTCTGACAGCTGTGTGGGGGCAGCCATGTAAGTAGGACATGAGGACCAAGTTAAACACTTAGCCCAGGATTACAGATGCTCACACAAGATCAGAGAAATAGCCAAAGCCACTGCCTTCATTAATGGTGCAAGCGTGCACTAGCGTGCAGATGGACAACACTGGATACATCCATAAAATTCACATTTATGGAGTGGTTTAAGATTTACACTTTCCTCACTACTGTGAGGCAACAGTGAAATGGCTTTGTACCCATTTTACGTGAGGAAATCAATGCACAGAGGTGCATTAGGTGGCTTGTCTAGTGTTAAGAACTTAGTTAAGCTCAGGTCTTTGGACTCCTAAATCGATGTTCTATTATTTCATTATTGATTCCCATTCAAGTGAGACAACTGCCCTACCTAGGCTTCAGAAGTGGTCACAGCTAATTCAGGCAACTTGGATCAATGTTTGAGTACTGGTGAGAAACTATCAGAATCACAGAATTACAAAATCTGAGAGTTGGAGAGGATCTCAGTGGTCATTTGGTCCAACCCGTAGACAAAAGAAATCCTATGTTACACACCGGACATGGGGCTGTCCGGCCTCTGTCTTGAAGACCTCCAACGAAAGGGCACCCCAAACCTTTTGAGGCAGCCATTACTATTTTTGGACAGCTATAATTTGTTAGGAAGTTACTAATGGAATACTACCTTGTAATTTTATTATAACTCCTCTTAAACTAAGGAGTATGAGGTTGGCTAAAAATCTGAAAAATGTGTAGGGAAAGTTGTTGACTTTTTTCTTTAAGCAAATGGTAGTATTCCTCTGAATAACTGATGACTGTCATGGAAATTTAAGATAATGATATAGATGGGAAAGGAAACAGGTACTGACTATTTGTGTCTAATTAAGACCTAAGAAGATTTTCCTAAAGGGTAATGATTTACCTACATTCCAGTGCCTTCAATCAAATTCCAAATCAGATCAGGGTAAGAAAATGGGCTGTTCATTACAGGAAGGATATGGAACTCACTATTTCGTTTTTCATAATTTTGCATAGTATTGCTACAGTTGCTTGGTTTCATTGGAGATGAATCAGCATTTCAGTGACAGGTTTTAATGGTGACCTTTTCCCTTCTTTCATCTAATCTCAGGGGAATGGCTCTCTTCTTAACAGGGAGATGGGGGGACTATGGGGTGCACTATGTTGCAGAAATGGGGGACTATGGGGTGGATATATTGTCACGTACAGTTAGGATGTAGTTAGCTTTGTTGAACTATTTTTCTGTGTTACAAGGAAGGGTGCCATGGTGGTGGTGGTGGGTGGGGACTGTCAAATATTGTGAAATGACTGTGGTATAAAAAAACCAGCATTAATAAAACATAAATAAATAAAATGGTTCCCAAAGGGTCTTTGCTATGTTTCTACTCCAAGAAGAGAAATGTGAACAGATACTCTTGGGAACCCAGTTGTTTTTAATCCTGCTGGACGGGCAGGGGCAGCAATTTAAGGAGCTGTCAGGAAGACCTGGGTGGGGGAGGTGTGGTGTGAAGTAGCCATGGGAGAGTCATATGTACCCTGTATCTTTTCAGCAACTCAGAGAAAACTTGTCACATGCAGTAAAGATTCAGAAATGGAGAAATAGGAGTGGGAAAAAGATCAGGAAGTCCAAGGGGGAAGGCCAACAGCACAACAGAGAAGACAGATGTGGCACTGATAGGGATGAACATGCTATGGTGGGCTAGAGCTGTCCCCTGGGAGATTGAGATTAGCAGGAAGTAAAGGAAGGAGATGTATTTGCAAGGTTTTAAGAAGCCATAGAAAGTAAGAGGAAGAAAAGAGGAACAACAGGAAAGGGAAAAATGCGGATAATTTTAACAATATTTTAAACATACTGCAGTGAGTCATTAGTGACCCAGAGGACTAACTCGCATATAATGTTTATAACTCTCAGCGGTCTCCAATAACTTGGATGATGGAGCAGAGTATGTTCACTAAATTCACTCAGGAAACTGACTGGGAAGAGTTGTAAGATAAGAACAGAATTCAAAGTGAATTTAAAGAGAAACATTTAGTTCCAAAGGAAAATGTTGAATAAAGAAAAACCCAAAGGCAATACTCAGGAAGGGAAAAAAAAATTCCAAAGAAAGGGAATAACTAGGTAGGTATAGAAGACTCTGAGGTAGTGTGGTGCATTGGTTAGAACGCTGGTCTTGAAATCTGGAAGATATGAGTACATATATTCTATACGTACATCTACCTATCATCTATGTCTATCTCTAGCCATCTATTTCTATCTATCCATTTACCCATTTATCTATCTATCCATTCATTCATCTATCATTGTATCTACCTATGCTAGCTATTTATCTGGACAATGACAGCTAGACTCAGTCCAAACAATCTAGATCCAAATTCTGTCCTCGCCACATATTGGCTGGGTGATATTTAACCCATGTCATCTTTGAGGCTAGAAGGTGCAGAAAAGGTGCTGACCTCAGTCAATAGAGGATGTCTTTACCCAGAAAGGAGAATTCTTCACTGTGAATTTTCCATACTGAAGAAATTATAGGTCTGGCCCTAAAACAAAATGTGTGTGTGTATAGGGACTGGACCTGTGGTGTCACTGTCAGAGGGAACTCCCAGACAAGGAAATTGCCTTCACTAATGCAGGTTAGGACCTTCTCCACACTGCACTTCATTTCTTTGGTACCTGGCATGATATATAGGTACAAATGAGCATGTTTCGGTGTGCCCAAATGTCTATAGGGATCTATCTCCAAAGTCTTTGCGTAGCTTGAAGCTTTAAAAACTTAAAATGGCCCTAACTTTCAGGACACCCTCTCTGTCTACATCTATAGCCCTGTGTACATACACATACATGGATGGATGGACAGATGCACAGACACAGATTCGTGTCTTCGTGTGTCTCAGACTAGTTTTTGATCTGCTATTCACCTGCCCAAGGGTTTTCTACATACTTAGTCATTCCCTTTCTTTAGAAATTTACTTTTTTCCTGAGTACTGCCCTTGGGTCTTTCCTTATTCCACAGCTTCCTTTGGGGAATTAAATGTTTCCCTTCAAATTCCATTCCTACCCTATAGGATGTCAATGACCCTTCCCAATCAATGTCCTCTGTGGCTTTAATGAACAGACTTAACTCCATTCATACCTACCTGGAGACCTTTGAGTATTAGAGGTGTGGCCTTAGAAAGCTGCCTGGAGCATGGAGCCATGTGCCCAGGGTCACCTGGTTCAGGATGTACACCGTAGAGCCAGGACTTGACCCCAGGTTTTCCTGGCTTTAGGGCTGGCTCTCTATGTCATGCCACTACTCATATACCCTTATAAGTGGGAGAGAATGAGTTTTCTTTTCTTTTTTTTCACTCCAGCACCTCCTTCCTTTTCAGTTCAGTATTTTTTAGAGTAAATTCTAAACACTCTGCTAAATGTTTTTTTTTTGCTACATCTTGATTCATGCCTAAGAGCTCATTATTCCTCTATTTTAATCTGTTCCAAAATTTAAAAATCCATTCTCAGACACGAGTCTCCTAAATCAGATGTTCACTTCCCTAGTACCTTCCCACTAAAGACCTATTTTTGCTGCCTTAGATAGGCGGGAGAGACAAAAACACAGCTTGTGCCAGTGAGGCCTTGAGTTTCTTGCTAAGACTTCTTAAGTCTAAGACTCCTAGAACATTTAACTAAGGTCCAAGAGACAGATGTTTGGGACATGTTGGCCTTGAGATGCTTCCATGGGGACATTCATGCAGAGTTATACAACAGGTGACGTAGGACTGGCGTTCTGAGAGAGATTAAGACTAGGCCTACGTGCTTGGGGAGTCATATTTATAGAGATAATTGAACCCACCAAAGTATCATATACCCTAAGAGTACCAAGGGAGAAAGAACAGGGACAGAAGAGGGCCAAAGGCAGTCTTGGCGGACATGTTTGTGGACATGGGAGTAGAATAAGCAGAGGAAACGGACAAGGGGCAGACAGAGAAAATGAATAGAAAATAGCGTCAAAGTGAAGGGACCATCCTTGTTGGGGGGTGGTCAACACTCAAAAGCAGATGAGGTATCAAAGAAGGACAAGCAAAGGCTGAAAAAGTATCTTTGGACTTAGCAGCTAAGATGTCGCCGGCAAACTCTGAGAGAACAGTTTTAGGAGAGTGAGTGTGCAGGGAGTGAGGAAGTAGACACTGAGGTTAGTTACTGCTTCTTTTTAAAAAAAGAAATTTTTTTTTAAAGGCACTTAGGGTAAATGACTTGCCCAGGGTCACACAGTTAAGTGTCTGAGGCTGGATTTGAACTCAGGTCCTCTTGACTCCAGGGCTGGTGCTCTATCCACTGTGTCAAGCTGCCCCTTAGCTACTGCTTCTAGGAGCAGAGAATGGAGGAGAGATACAGGATGACAGCTTAAAGGAACTGCCTGGTTAAATTAAGGTTGTTTTTATTTTCTAAAAATGCATTTGTTGACAATGGAGAAGGCACACTGGTCGATGGGGATATATAAAGTATTTATTAAGAACTGACTATATATACCAGGCACTTTGCTAAGTGAGAGGGATATAAATACAAGGAAATAAGACAGCTTTTGCCCTCAAGGATCTTATATCCTAATGAGGAAAGGCAACATATAAAGCGGAGCTGTAAACTTGGGTGAGGGGAGATAGAGAGGACCTGCATGGGAGCAAGAACAGTGACTTCTTCCCAAGAGATGAGAACTAAGGGAGAAGAGGACAGATGAAGATGTAGATGTAGAGCGGTTTTGAGATATGGAACATCTCAATATGAAGATGCCTGTGAGAGATGGCTTCCATTTTCTTAGTAAAGAAGGCAGGGACTTTTATCTGCTGAGACAAGAACAGCTGCAGAAAGAGATGATCTGATGCAGCAATTACAGGAAGCACCACAGAGGGTCAATGAGGGCAGAGCAAAAAGATTGCTAGGCAGTAGTGAGGGCCCAGGCGTAATTCAGTTTCCATAATTGTGTTATCTCCTCCAGTAGCAGTAAGGGGTTCAGTAGCGGAGGCAGAGGACGTGGAAAGAATTTTAAGGCTGGAGGATAGAGCTCAGTTGATCTGACTACCTAGACCGTCAAGAACCTTAAGGAAGGAAAATGATGCAGAGCAGGGGAGGTAAACTGGGAAAACAGAGACAAAAGAAGAGGAATGACTGTCTTTTGCCTTTCTTAGTACACCTGGTGCTTAGTATAGTGCCTGGAGCATAGCAGGTACTTCATAAATGTTTACTGACTGACTGGAAGGCTTCCACAGACTCAAAAAAGCAATCTTTTAAATGATGTAATAGTTTCATGTCTACCAATCTAGGGTTTTAGCTGACAGATATTCATTACTTTATTACTAACCAACTGACTCTAAATTCCAAAGCTACAACTGTCTCCTGGTACATACACAGTTTTGAGGGCTAGAAATTATAAAATGCTCAAAGAAATCGAATATTTGTGATAAAAAGTAATCATAAAACATGTCTTCATGAACTATGTATGTTAAAAGATTTTTTCCAGATAGTTACTTATTTTAGAAGATAGGAAGCTTTTCTTAAAAGGAGAAATATTTTTTTTTATGACTTCTAAGCTGTTCTAATGAGAGAGTGTGACCATGAAATATTCAACAGAAAGATTAGTACTTATCAACAGTTTCTTCTACTGGAACAGAACTGCCTGTAAAGCACGTGTTGCTGAGAGGATAAGCCTCCTTCTCTGAGCTTCTAAAGGCAGTAATACTTTAAGAAATGGGAGAGGACAGTCATCACCAAAGGAATGACCAAATATCATCACACAACTTTCCTTCTACTAATGTATTCGTTGGGAAAGGTCTGAATAGATGGAGCCTCACGTACAGTGTAAACAGCATAACCTATCATCAGTTGGCACAGAATTCTCGCCTTTTGCCTACCATGTCAACTGAAAACTAAAACTAAAACCAAGATAAAACTGGTACGCCCAGCACATCTGTTCAGCCTGTGCCTGGACACATGCTCTGGATAGCATGTCTCACACAGCTTTTCTCCTGGGCATCTCCTTCCTCATCACACCAGACACTTGAAGGCCAAGGGTGGTGTTTCCACTCCAGGCCACACGCCTTCCCATGGCGCCAGCTCAGCCGGAATCCTAAGGATTCTTCCCAACAGCCAGGGCAAGAGAAGGGGGAACTTACCTTTCTCACTTCTTTACTTGATCTGAATGTCTGCTGAACAAAGCAGTCACTTTCAATCGCTTCAATTTCTTTGACTCGTTTCACTTGTTCTCCTAGGGTGGCTTGGTCTACAAAAGGAGGGTACACACTGTCAACATATTTTAGGGGAGGTCTGTGATCAGCTGTGCCTACTCAATGTTTTCTGAAGATGTTTTATTGCTTATGAAATATGAACTTGGATGAGGTCAAGACACGTAAGCCAGACTGTCACAAAGAAATTCTTATCCGGTGCACAGCCAATGAGGGACTGCAGACTGATATGCCCAAAGAGCTAAGGAAGCACTTCGCTGGAAATGGGAAATTCTGCTGAAAAAGTGTCACCATTGACAATGATAATCCCACTGGCTCTGTGTTAATCCTGTGGGAGGATATTTAGTTCTTTCATAAGCTAGGGCCAGTGGGAAGAATTCTCATAAACCACATCATGGATTCTGCATTCTAGCTTGTGCTATAAATAAAACGGTGAGTTAGCAGCTACCATTTTCTTGGTAATGGCACTTAAAAAATTTAGGTGAGAGCTAGCAATTATTGTCAGATGGCCCATGGAAATAATTTTAGCTTTGATGAAGAAATATAGATGTTTGCATCTAATAAATCAAGATATTTATTAAGAACAGGCTATATGCAATCATGACAGATTTAAAAAAGATGATCTAAAGACAAGCTTAGCTTCAGACACTACCTTTTTTTTTAAAAGGCATTTTTAGTTTTTGATTCTCAAATATCTATGTATAAATCACCTGGTCAGCTACATTATTTCCCTGGAAATGATCTTAAAAAAAAAACAATAAAAGTTGTGTTTTTTTTCTGTATGAAATTTCTCTGCCTACCAGATCACAAACAATAAATTTCATAAAGACAATTCTAAGCCCTAGGAGGAATTTTATTTTTTTAATTTTTTAATATAAATTTGTTTTTAGTTTTCAATATTCACTTCCACAAGTTTTTGAGTTCCAAATTTCTCACCCCTCCCCCCACCCCAAGATGGCATGCATTCTGAATACCCCTTCCCCTGGTCTGCCTTCTTTTCTATCTCTCCCCTCCCTTCTCTTATCCCCTTCTCCTTCTATTTTCCTGTAGGGCAGGATAGACTTCTGTACCCCATTTCCTGTATTTCTTATTTCCCAGTTATATGTGAAAACTTTTTTTTTTAAAACATGTGTTTTTAAAACTTTGAGTTCCAAATTTTCTCCCTTCCTCCCTCCCTACCCACCCTCATTGAAAAGGCAAGCAACTCAATATAGGTTGTACATGTGCAGTTATGCAAAACACTTCCTTAGTAGACATGTTGTGAAAAACTAACTCTATTTCCCTTAATCCTATCCTGCCCTCCCATTTATTCTATTCTTTCTTTTGACCCTGTCCCTCCTCAGAAGTATTTGCTTCTGATTACCCTCTTTCCCAATCTGCCCTCCTCTCTATCACCCCCTGCTCTCTTGTCCCCTTCTCCCCCTATTTTCCTGTAGGGTAAGACAGATTTCCATACCCAATTGAATGTGTATGTTATTCTCTCCTTAAGCCAAATCCTATGAGAATAAGATTCCCTCATTCCCTCTCACCTTCCCCTGTTTCCCCTCCACTGTGAGAGACTTTTCTTTTTTTTTGTGAGATAATTTACCCCATTCTACCTCTCCCTTTCTTCTCTGAGTATCATCCTCTCTCATCCCTTAATTTTATTCTCCAGATATGACCCCTTAATCTTCAACTCACCCTGTGCCCTCTATCTATCTATCTATATATACATACATACAATTTTTTTCCTTCAACTACCCTAATACTGACAAAGTTCTCATGAGTTACAAATATCATCTTTCCATGCAGGAATGTAAACAGTTCAATCTTAATAAGTCTCTTATGATTTCTCTTTCCTGTTTACCTCTTCATGTTCCACTTGAGTCCTGTATTTGAAAGTCAAATTTTCTGTTTAGCTCTGGTCTTTTCATCAGGAATGCTTGAAAGTCCTCTATTTCACTGAATGACCATTTTTTCCCCTGAAGGATTATACTCAGTTTTGCTGGGTAGGTGATTCTTGGTTGTAATCCTATCTCCTTTGCCCTCTGGAATATTATATTCCATGCCCTGCGGTCCTTTAATGTAGAAGCTGCTAAATCTTGTGTTATCCTGATTGTGTTTCCACAGTACTTGAATTGTTTCCTTCTGGCAGCTTGTAATATTTTCTCCTTGACCTGGGAACTCTGGAATTTGGCTACAATATTCCTAGGAGTTTTCCTTTGGGGATCTCTTTCAGGAGGAGATCTGTGGATTCTTTCAATTTCTATTTTGCCCTCTGGTTCTAATATATCAGGGCAGTTTTCCTTGATAATTTCTTGAAAGATGATGTCTAGGCTCTTTTTTTGATCATGGCTTTCAGATAGTCCAATAATTTTTAAATTCTCTCTCCTGGATCTATTTTCCAGGTCAGTTGTTTTTCCAATGAGATATTTCACATTGTTTCTAATTTTTCATTCTTTTGGATTTGTTTTACAGTGTCTTGATTTCTCATAAAGTCACTGTCTTCCAATTGCTCTATTCTAATTTTTAAGGAAGTATTTTCTTCAGTAAGCTTTTGGACTTCCTTTTCCATTTGGCCAATTTTTTTCTTTAGGGCATTTTTCTCCTCATTGGCTTTTTGGACCTCTTTTGCCATTTGGGTTAGGCTGCTTTTTAAGGTGTTATTTTCTTCCGTATTTTTTTGGGTCTCCTTTAGCAAGCTGTTGACTTGTTTTTCATGATTTTCTTGCATCACTCTCATTTCTCTTCCCAGTTTTTCCTCTACTTCCCTTACTTGCTTCTCAAAATCCCTTTTGAGCTCTTCCAAGGCCTGGGACTGATTCATATTTTTCTTGGAGGCTTTGGATGTAGGAGCTTTGACTTTGTTGTCTTCTTCTGGTTGTATATTTTGATCTTCTTTTCACCAAAGTAAGATAATATAGTCTGACTCTTTTTGTGCTGCTTGCTCATGATCCCAGCCAATTACTTGAGTTTTAAACTCCTTGTTAAGGTAAGAGTCTGCTTCCAATGTGGAGAGTGTACTGTCCCAAGCTTCAGGGGTTTGTGTAGCTGTTTTCGGTAAATTTTCAGTTCTTCCAAGGTGGTATGATAAGGGGTGAGGTGTTTACTCCTTTCCTAGCCTGTGACCACAAGTATTCCTTTCTGTCCTGTAACTGTGAGGAGGGGTTCCTCTCCACAGCCACTACAAGCTCCACCACGCCAGCTCCTCCTCACCCCAGCACTGCTGCCCAGAACTGTGACCCAGATCCACACACGGGCAAAGCAAGAGATTCCTGCCTGAGCACTGGCAAAGAAATCCCTGCAGTCCCTCTCTGATCAGCCACTGGATTCCCCCTCAGCCTGTGGGCCGGAAGCTCGGGAAGCAGCCCCCCCCACTAGGCTCTTGGGAAATGGAGCTGAGACCCCACCTTCCTCTCTGACCACCGACAGAAACAGACTTTTCCCACTGACCTTCTAAGTTGTCTTTGGCATTCGTGGATTGAGGAGTCTGGAAAGCTCCACAGCTGCCCGTGATTCAGTCCTCTGAGGCCTGCTCCAGGTTTGCTGTGGCCTGTGCGCTCACGCTGCGCTGCGCTCCCAGCCCGGCGTGATACACCTTTCTGATCAATCATCCAGATTGTCTTGAGCTGGAAATTTGTTTCACTCTGTCTTTTTGTGGGTTCTGCTGCTTCAGAATTTTTTTAGAGCCATTTTTTATGAATATTTGGAGGGGTTTGGGGGAGAGCTCAAGCAAGTCACTGCTTTCACTCTGCCATCTTGGCTCCGCCCCCCAAGGAATTTTATTTTCAAACTAATCTAAAGCATGGCTGGTATGGGAGGAAGGGGAGGTGAATTCACTGGCGTGGATATTCCCTCCACTGATAAAGAAGGCAGCCCATCAGTCTTGAATCAGGTTTCTAAAGGTCATCATCTGATGGTGAACCTTCTGGCGATGACTCCTTTATGTAGAGCACCACTCATCCTGTACCGGAAGATTTTCTAGCTTAGATGTACTAGACTCTGCCGCATCAGCTTTAGAGAGTTCAAAGTCATCTCTATAAGCCACCGAAGCAGTACCTTGGTGGAGGATATCACCCCCACACCCTAATACTGATATACCCCATGCAATGAATCCATTCAGAGTTACTTTACATATCTTGAGAAAACCCTGAGTAGATTTGTAAAGAAATGTCATTACATATGCTGTTCTATGTGACCCTGTTTTTGACTTTTATTAATTAGGGGAAAGTCACGAACGATTCTTAATTAGTCTGTCTGAGGTCATTTTCCAATCACTAGCATTGAGATGAGAACTAATAAGGGCTCTCTTCAGACTTTGGGACTCTCTTGGAAATGCTGAGTGATTTGAATCCATGGTTCGTCTCCCTCTGCTGGGAGAATAAGCCACATTTTCTCATTTGGATTTGCAAAGTGCTTCCCTAGATGTCAGGGGTGAGATCATAAACAGCTCCTGACAGCTAAAGCTTGTCGTGTTTGCGGCTTTAACCCTGGGCACACGCCCAGTTTGGAACACTCATAAAAGTATCACTGCAGAACTTGGCCAAAGGGACAGAATGCTCACAGAGATGACAAGGGAGAGCATCAGAAGAGAGGCAAGGAGAAAGACAACAGAACATATCTTCTTTGTGTTCCTGGAAAAGTCAATTCAGAAATAACAACGTGACAGGACAGACAGGAGAAGGCCAGATCACTTACCCTAAGACAGGGAAGATAAGCCAGAGAGCCTATAGCCTTTCAGCATGGAAACAATGGTACCAACAGCAGGAAAGCTTGATAAACCCATTTCTGCCTAAAAGGACATCTCTTTTTTTGTTTTTGTGTTTAGGCAGTTGGGGTTAAGTGACTTGCCCAGGGTCACACCGTTAGTGTCAATTTTTGATCTGAGGCCGGATTTGAACTCTAGTCCTCCTGACTTCAGGGCCGGTGCTCTGTCTACTGTGCCACCTAGCGGCCCCTAACAGGACATCTTCTGCATGAAACCAACGTCTTTGGTTTCCTCAGAGCTTAATTTTCTGTGATCTGAAAACACTGGCTTGTGAAACATGCTCTCTATGTCCTCAGACACATATGAGCGGTTCTA